AAGTTTGGTACGCATGGTGACGACGGAGGCCGGGCGCGCGCATCCTGACCGCCCATCAGGACGCTGACGGCCGCTGATTGGACTATTGGCGTTCATCTGCTCGCTGGCATTATGCATGCAGCGTCGATCGCGTACAATTATGAAATTTGTGGCTGTCTAAAACAACAATGTGGCTGTCTGAGAGGACGTCACTCTTGCAGCTTCTCGAAGCAGCTTCTTGACCGTCGCTCGCTTCGGTTCTCCGCCCGCACTTGCGAGCGTTAAGCTTGAGATGCCTCGCATCGCTGAAACACCAAGGCAATCTGACAACGCAGGCGTGTCGAGTCCTCATTTCCCAACGGCTGCACCGCAATGTGACATTTGACCGTCGGCGCCACGCTGTCTCGTAGAAAGCCAAAAAGCCGGCAAACAGGGCAGAGATTTGCAATTGTGAAGGGAGCTTAGCCGGGTCCAGACGATCGACACGGGTTCTGCCCAGATTGCCGACTCCTCATGGCGCGTGGGCCTAGTGCACATCTTGATGTCCCGGCATGCTAGCGTCTACCGTCCGTCACGATGCCGTCTACTGTACGGCCGCGGTGGGGCGCACCTACTTGTCGGCGACCTCGAGGATCCCATGTGCGACCAGGCGTTGACGTCCCCACGCTACAGCTGGCTCATTTGGGAAAATGCCCGCAGACGGCAGGAAGCTGTGAAGGTGGAGAGCCATGTGCCTGCCACGAATAGGGACCGCTTTCTGGAAGACCTGGTGGGAATACGGCCATGCCGAGCAGGCGGGTATAAACACCGCTGCTCGACCGTGACTTTGCTTTCTTTACTTTACCTCGCCAGAGGCCACGCGCAAACTTCCTCTACCTCCATCCCAAGCTTTGCTCGCCCTCACTAGTCAGATCCACGCTACCACCCTGCCCTGCGGCAATCGGTCTCAGCGCTCGACTACTGGACGACTACGCAAGTAGCTTTCTTCCAGATCTTCTGCTAGCTCAGTCTCACTACTCCACTCGCCCCATCGGCCGAGTAGGTATATAGCATTCCATCTCCACGCGCGGCACGGTGCGTGTGAACGGTTGCTCCTGCCATCTCACCAATTGACCACGTGCTGTCGCCACCCCGCAACACCACGTTCCTTCCGCGATCAGATTCGACCCCGGATCCTGCCCAATATGGTCTACTCACTATCTTATCGCCGTCCAGAGCGAGCTCCTCGTCCCAGCACTGCCTCTTCCACCAACACCGAAGACAAGCGAAAGTCGATCAATGCATCCATCAAGTCTGGCAGCAGCGGCATGTCCCACGGTATTCCCGAGGCCTTGTCCTTTGACACCATCATCGCTGGCGGCGCTTGCCCTGTACGTTGCCACTTCCATGAGCATCACCTTTCCAAGTACCTTTGCTGACACTTCCCAGCCCTGCACTGTCCGCGACTTCATGAACTTCCTCAAGTACATCGAACTGTCGGCTGAGAACTTGCAATTCTTCCTCTGGTACCGTGACTACGTCAAGCGCTTCAATGCGTTGCCGGAAAGCGAGAGGGTTCTGTCTCCCGAGTGGACTGGCGAAAAGAACCCCGAAGCCAGGCCCGGCACCGTCAGCTACAATGCCGACGCTGCAGCCATGCTCAAGGGCACCGACTTCGCCAACGAGGGCAAGGTCGCTGATTCGGAGAAGGGTAGCAACAACCCCTTCTTCACGCCTCCTCGCACGCCAACCAGCGTCGAACCCAGGCGCGACTACTCCCTTGACTCGTACGATGATAGCATGACTACCGGCAAAGTTGACCACACTCAACGTGCTGCTGGTGCGTTTGATAACGCAGGACTAAAGTGGAAACCACGTGAGTATTACCTTTGCTAATTTTCTTTCTTCGCCTCTAGGGTCCAATCGCTCATCCACCACAGTATCCGTCCAGCCTTACCGGGAAGAGATCAACCGCATCATCTCCATCTACATTGCCGACAATGGTTCGCGACAGCTCAACCTCTCGTCGAAAGAGCGCACAGCACTGCTGCACGCTCTGCAAAATACGACCCATCCGTCGGCATTTACCGACATCATCACCACCGTCGAGTGGTCGCTCCGTTGCCAAGCGCACCCCAACTTTGTTCGGTGGACCATATGCAATGGCAACCGTCCGCGTGTGATCTTCGCCCGCGGCCTCGGTATCTTCGGCATAGTTGCTGGTTTGATCGTCGCGATCATCCTCACCCTCAGCAGCGCCGGTCGTGCATGGCGCGTCATCTCCCTCATTGGCTTCTTCATTGGTATCTCAACGTTGATCGCAGCCTGGAAGGGCATGTGTGTCGTTCTTCACGGCATGCACCACCGTCATCTGCGACCATGGGAGCTCTTCGCTTCCGATGACGAGCCGCAAAGCTACGACTTCAAGTCTGACTCCTTCCAGAGCGTTGACTCGCACGCGTCGAGCAACTCTTGGGAAGACGAGCCATGGGTCGCCCGCTACGAGAAGCGCAATGTCGTGAGGAAGGTGTTTGACCGTGAGGTCTGGATCCAAGAGCCTGCTCTCCGCCAGATCCAGGACACCATCTTCATCCAAGCCATCCTCGGCGCTCTTCTCATCTCCGCCGTCGCTGTCGGCATCTTCTGCGCCATCCCCAAGGGCAACTACTTCTAAGTGCGGCGACGAACCATCCAGCCACACTCCTATCTTCTTAACCCGAATTCCCATCCGAGCGATTTCTTCTCAATTCCCCCTTTGGCTCTATGCAAGCTGCTTCTGATACCCATGTACATGTGTTTACGACACACAAGTGCGCGCGACATTTTGGTCCGTCTGTGCGAGAATAGCGATTAATGGGACATGTTGGTTCGGCGCCGGCGTCTGGATTAGCGATATGATCTACTATGTAACCGATATTTCCTTACGATATAAAACCTTAACGGAAAGAAGAAGATACCTGGAAGAATGAGAGGAAAGAAAAGTTTCCTTCTATATAGTCGATATATGCAGATTATGTCTTTATGGATGCAAGACTTTGATATCTCCCGTTGTCCACAACATCCGTGCGTTCCATGTCGTGATCTTCCACAATCCTCCGTCGTCCTCGTCTTTGAGCAGCTGCATGTCGTACAGCGAACTCGCCGTATAACTCGTATCAGCCGCCACAAACGCCTCTTCCTCTCTCACATGGTACGAAATGACATGCGCCGTCATGCGCGCGAAGGTCGCATTCTCGCTCTCCGCTTCTATTCTCACATTGCTCACGGTATGTGTGGTGATGAGGTTGAAGACGCGATCTAACAATGGATTGATTGCGTCGAAGCCTGTGACAGTTTGTTGGGCGCCCAGCGGCCCGTAGGTAAATGTCATCTGGGGGGTTTTGTGACAGGCGGACTCTACGAGGGAGCGGTCGTTGCTGTCTAGGCCGAGGGTCAGGCGATGGAGGGTGTCGGTTATGGATTGGTGGGTTGTGAGGTTGGGTAGGTTGACGGTGGGAGTGGGGGCGGACATGTTTGGGATTGAGTCAATGAGGTTTGTTGGTTGACTGCTGTTGCTTCTTCTGGTATTTGAGTCGTATGCAGTCTTACCTTCTCTCTACAGCTTATATACGTAGTTGTTGCTACAGCATACCATACCTAGGTAGGACGGGGCGTATCCATGCCGCGGACACAACGTGTCAGTATGGAGTTATCGGGCTTACGACGCTGGTTCACACCAGTTCAAGCAGAAAATGTGGAATCCATCGGATTTAACAGAGATAGCTGTATCTTTTGGCATAGTAGGATTGCAGAGTTCCGAGTCTCTCCTGCGACTGGTATATATATCGGTGGTTCAGTGCTCCGTCTTCGGCGGCTTCCGGGAACGCCTTGCACAGCCACTTTCTGCCTGCAGCTCCATGCGTCACGCGCCTGGCTTGATTACAACGACTCAGTTCTGTGATTACGAGAAGGTATGGTTCTTTGAGTACGAGCAGAGCCGCATCTCCGGTGAATGCTTCACTTGGTTGTGAGCTTGTGATTTTGCATACCGGTCGGTTCAGTCGTGTAGGCAGTAGAAACCTTGGAATGGAGGCGCGAGGCAGACTGTGACCGGATGGAGGCTGAAGACGACGGTCAGTTTCTTGCGCCTTGGAAGTTATTCTGCAACTGCGTGATGTGTGGAATCATGTTCTCTATTATGATATAGGGTTGAAAGGTTGGTGAGGCACGTGGTGAGGTGGCTGCAGCCTGTGTGGCTGTGCTAAGTGCCGTTTACCGCTGTTCCGGAGGCTGCCGGTCGTGCGAAGAGGGGAGGTTTTGAAGTAGACATGGGCGCGAGGTAGTTGTATGTATTACGATTATATGAGGATAGGTGTATGATGTTATTGAAGGGTCGTGTTCTATATTTGCATGTGGGCAGGTAGCGGCTTCCCAAATCTGCAGATCTACAGTCGATGCACCACAAACCATGGCCATAATATGGCATATAACTATTGGATCTATACAAGAAAAGAATCGGCCAGGTACCATGAAGTCATAGTGCAACTGTGCAGTAGCATCATGGCGAATGCTGCTATTTTTCGCTCAGACAAGGGTTTAGAAGATGCTAGAGGGAACTATGATGCTTGATACGACACTTCGATAATACAGGTACAACACTCGCATGTTCACACGAGCAAATGCGATGAAGATGACTGTGTCGTGACGATACTTGCAAGGAATAACCCAGATATCTCAGCAAGGCGAAGATGTGCGAACAGGCGGTGGGCGTTGAACAGAGGACGGGAAGCGAGCAAATAGGGCTTTACCGGCGGTGGGGACAGTGCAGGGCGAAGGCGCGAGGAAGCCGCGACCCGCAATTCACAGACGGCTACATGCGTCACCTAGCATCTTTGTACATCCAACATGGCCGTTGTTGCCGCGCTATGTAAACCTGCCCTCTCCGCTATCTTCGTCTTGTTACTCTTGAGGCCGCCCTAGCTAGTTGCCCAAGCTGCATGCTCGCCAAAGCCACTGCCTAGTCTCTCACTGCTCGCCTGACCATCGCTCACGTACGCCCATACATGTCTTACGAATACGACAGCCGGTACCACCACCGCCCGCGCCATGACTCGCACTATACATCAAGAGAGACGGACCCCTACGGCTATGCGAGGAGCGATAAGACTCTAGCTGAGGCGCGCGAGCAGCTGGCAGACATGCGCCAGAGCAATCCATACACATCGTCCTACACTCCGTCCTACAACACCTACACCTATGAGCCCCGCACTTCTCCACCCCTGCCACCTCGACGACCCGCGCCGCATTCGTACAGGTCGCACAGGCAGGAGCAGACATGGCCGCCGTCACCGAGCGTCGAGGACGAGAGGGAGGCGCTAGCAAAAGAGGCGCCGTCCTCCGTGGGGTCGTCAGGGCAGGCCGAGGGTGAGCCGCCGAGCAACACGCGGGGCACCGTCGACCAAGACTCCCTGCTCGACGAGATTGAGCAGCCGAGCGTCGCACAACACGACCGCCGCTATGTGCTTGTTTCCGAATCGAGCACCGATGACGATGGCAGCACGCTTCGGGACCGGCGCCGGCGCAGCTTTGCTGACCGTGGGGGCATGTCGCACATCAACACCGACGTCCCAGACCCTCCCGTCTTTACTGAGCGCGTGAGGGCGCCCTATGGCTACTCGAAGCCCCAGAAGGAGTCTACCGCGCCCTCGCCTGCAGACTACATGCGCTCGCCAGAACCAATCACGCCTTCGAACAGCAGCCATCCCAGGCCAGATGCGAGCAGACCGTCGAGACCGATGCCAACTGAAAGCCGACACAATTCCTACACGTCGCCGGCGTCAAAGAAAGAATACGTGTTCGACTCTGACTCTGACTCCGAAGCGCACAGCACGACCCACCTGCGAACCGAACGAAAGCCCGCGCGGTACAGCTTCGTGAAGAGCGACCTGCAAAGGGAGGACCTGAGGACAAACCTGCGCGATACACAGGAGAGGCCCGAGCCGCGTCGACACGACTCCGGGCAGCGTCCTCTGCCGACGATACGTAAGGGTGATTCGTCAGGCTCGTACAAGGAGTACCCCAATGCTGAGTCGCCGCGGTCGTCTTCGTCTTCGGTGCACAGCACGCGGCGATCGAGGCCTGTGCCCGTAGATACTGTCTATGCTAACAGCTCACGCCCGCTGTCCAGACCAAGCTCGCCATCGTATCGAGCGCCCTCGCCTCAGCTGCCTACCCGACTGCGAGACTCCCCTCCAGGCTCTCGACCATCGTCCCGCGGTGGCCCTCGGCCAACCTCTCCGCTCGCTTCTTCGTTCCAACCTTCTTCGCCCGGCCGCGGTCGCGGACCCGTATCCGAGTCAGATTGGCACTCCACCTATCCTCCAGCACCTTCCGACGACAGGTCAAGACAACCCTCTCGATATGGCCGACATGACACCATGCCACTCCCGAGGCCTCGCATCGATGTGCACAGTCCATCTCCCGCGAGGCAATCCACAGGCGACTCTTTGCCATATCCCATCGACGACCAGCTCATTGACGTCTTTATGCCACCCGAAGAGCACTATCAATTCGATCATTCCACCGTCTGCTCACCGAGGCAAAGCTACGTTGACATCCCGAGAGCGACGTCGCCGGCAATTCCTAGCTCGCCGTACACGCGAGATCTACCTTCCCGGGCTAGGAGGCAAGACACAGAGACATTGGAGGAGCCTTCACGACCAAGGAGGTCCAGGTCGGGTAGTTTCCGCTCTCACGATGGCCGCCGTGACAGGTCATCTCGAAGGACTGCTTCAATGGACAGAAAACTTCCAGACTGCCCAAGACCTTACAAATCTGGGCCTTACGATGATTGGTACGCGCTCCAAGACAACAAGAACTTCAACATTTGCCCTAGTTGTTACGAGGGTGTCTTCGCCGGTACACCCTTCGACGTGGACTTCAAACAGGTATGGCTGAACGACTATTCGTTGGAGCGGAGCTGTGATTTCAGCAGCCCATGGGCACGTCTTGCGTGGCTGTTGACGCTTCAGCGAGGTCGCAAATCGCTCGATCTGATCAACGCAATTGCAGGTGTCATGGACACAGTAGCCAAACCGTGTCCTGGAGATCGTGAGGCTGGTGCAGAAGACCGCATTAGCTGGTACGGCATTACAAACCCACGCGACGGTACCCGTGTAGCCAACTTTGCTATATGCTCGAGCGATAGGAGGATGCTTGAGGCCTTGCTGCCTTCTCTTCGTGGTTGCTTCGCTAAGATGCCGAAGGACGACAGGCACGTATGCAGCTTGCGTACGAGCTCAACCCGCTTCCCAAAGTATTTGGATCTGCTCGTCGAGCTAGATGTCGAGGCTGAGTTGTCCGGTCAACTCCCTGATCTGAGCCGCTTCGTCCTATTGCTCCGCGAGAATTCCTACAAAGGCGAGTGCCAAAGGTACAAGATCTTGTTCCGCAAACCATGGCACTTCATCCCTTCGCTGCCAGAGTTCACAGTCTGTGAGCAATGCTACGACGAGCTCATCTGGCCCGCCACACAATCCAGATCCACGTCATCGTCCATACCGCACATGTTCAACAAGTCGATCCAGCTAGTCCCTGGTGAAGATCCTGATGTCGGGTCCAGCTGCTGTCTGTGGAGTCCAAGGATGCGCGACGTCTGGAAGGAAGCTGTCAGATACGACGACTTTTCTTACCTGAAGGACACAGCGAAAGAGAGAAAGAGGGCAGAGTCCAAGTATATGAAAAACAGAGTACGCATCATGACGTGGATGGGCGACGCGGAAAAGGGGACTAGGAAGTGGAAGGAAGCTGAGGATGCGATGAGGGAGCTAAAAAAGAGTTGGTATACTTACGAATGATGAGGTTATGATTGGAATGGGATATGTAGAGTCAATGAGAACATGGTTATTACTATTACTGCTACTACCGCTTTGTTGGTACGATAATTACCTTATCTTTGGTACCGAGTGTGGATGTGAAAACTGGCTTTGAGTTAACTCCCACGACTTTGCAAAACCACATCCCCATTCCAAACTGCCTTACATGAAAAATGAATTTCTCTGAGATTTATTCCCTCGACATTGAAGCCGCTAGAATGCGTAGCGAGGATATCTCGGAGATGAATTCTTCTATGATACCACACCCTGGGTCCTCGTCACAGCCCTCTCAAAGCTACAACTCTGGCGATCGGGTACAAACCAAGTAAACTTGCACACTCTGTTCAAGCGCTTTACCGCAATTCCACTAACCTACAACCCAGAGCGCCCCAAAAAGAAGAGATGCCAACACCCGGCGAGCGTCAGAAAACCGTCGCCCAACCCGTCCTTACGCGGGATCAATACCGCATACGCAAGTTGACCAAGGAGAACGCGAGACTCAGATGGGAAGTCAAGGAAAGGGATAGCAGGATTTCTTCGCTGGTAGAATGTCAAGATGCTTTGAAGGAAGACTTGGCTGCTGAAAAGAAGAATGCGAAGGCCTACAGAGAGCGGTTGATGTTCGAGAAGCGGGACGTGGATGACTTGGAGGCGGAGTTGCGAACCGCTAGGAGGAAACTGAACAGCCTGCGTGTGTCACTTCTTGATACTGACGACGAGCGTAATTGGTCCGACTGGGAGGTGGATGAACAGAATGAGGAGTAGGGTGAGCAGAATGAAGATGAGCCCGATTGCATATCATACAGGGAATGGAAAGTGGTCGAGAAGTAGTATGGGTGTCCAAGCTCAGATGTCTGGATGTTCGACGTTGGTATGTCTACGATTTATCTATCCTCCTAACTGTTTCCCTGCGCGGACTTTATCATGTCTTGGGTGCTGTATCTCTTCTTCTGGGACGTACACGACACGGTCTTAGTCAATCATCTTGACTTCGTTACTGTCATCTGCTTATGCATCTTACTCAGGTACGTCCATCTCTAGTTTCCGTAATGCGCTCTTCCTTAACGCATGTCGTCATGTCACCGACATTCGTTTGAGCAACAAACAGGAGACGAAGCTGATCAGATCGATAAACCGCGGTATTATCATTTGATGCAAGCTCCTCTTTTGAGCAAACACAGTCTGTTGGTATCGCAAACACTCACTGCTCATTCAATGTCTCCCGCGGAATGTATATAGACCAGTGACCTGCATTTCCATACTGACACCTACATATATATCCTACATCATCTTACAGTCCCCCCTCGAAAAAAGCGCTGCATCGATATCGCTAGCGATGTCGCCGACACCCGTTTGCAGAGCAGACAGGGGTCGCAGGTACGCAACTCGCCACCCTCTCCTTTCACTACAACAGGATCGGCGGAAGAACTTGTCGGCTGACCGCAGATCTAGTTTTTCCGTCGCTTACGGATGTGCGCCCACGGACCTTTTTGTTGTTTTGACAACTGATATCCCCGCTTTCTTGTTGTTTCTCTCGACACCCACGTCCGTCTATTGACACCCGTATACACGCCATCGACGACATCATGGACGACCTAAACGACAACGACATCAGCATGGGCGATGTCCCCGAGGTCACTGTGGATGTACCCGATGACCACCAGTCCGGAGGGGAAAGGGACGTCGTCGGTGTTGCCGCCAAGCATCGCGACGCTGAGCACAACTACGAGATCAAAACCTTCAAGATTCTCAAGCCCTCCGTACCCCTGCCCCGTCTCTTCGACATCTACTTTCACCCTGAGCGTAGCCTTGTACCTGTCGTTCCTCAAGATATCCAACTTGACTTCTACTTCTACATGTACAACAGCATCGCCAGCGACAACTTTGTCGCACAGAAGACGCAGCCTCTCGACATCAGTCGGACCATCTGGTTCTACGGTGTGGATAGTACTCATGCATTCACTATGCATTGTTACCAGATCCGCTGGAACGTCATCATCATGTCCTTCCTTTGGGCAACTGGATTCGATGAGCGGTATTGCAAGCCTGCGTGTGGGCCTTTCATCATCAAGTTCATCAAGGTAAGTTCAAAATCCTCAGATATCCTCCTTATGTGATGGCCTGTACACCTTCAATCCTTTATTGGCTTTCCTGCATCACTTAAAAAGTCCCTGAGGCACTTTTGGCTATCCCATGACCTTGACTTCCAGCTGACAAGAACTAGGCCTGGATAGAGTCACTGGTCTTTCAGCACGACATCTCCGACAACATCTTCGCCCAACGCGAGGCTTTCATCAAGTTCTGGAAGAACGGCCCTTTCGACTTATACTACTTCGGCAAGCGCGACCAGGTCAAGATGATCGCCCGCATCAAACATCTGTACAAGCAGCTTGAGACGAAAGACCTGCCCAAGCACGACGACCTTGTCAAGGCGCTACGGGACGAAACCCTTGACGAAGAGACGTTTGAGCGGTATGGTCCTACGCTGGCCTTCCAGTGGGTTATCGGACGAGAGAAATATGCGCGCGAGGAGCAAGAGGCGATCGACTTCGACAACGAGGTCAACCAGTCTGATCTGGAGTTGGCTGAGGCGGATAGGGAGGTGGCGGAAGCGCAGAAGCAGGTGGAGCTCACTGCTGCAGCCCTTGAGAACGTCGACGAGATGGAAGAAGATGATGAAGAGGAGGAAGAAGATGGCTTCGATCCCTTCCCCAAAGAGTACCATCCTAGTCTCTCGCGTGTGGGATGGGATGATGTGCATGGTATCGTCATGCCACTCATGCGACCTGTCGATGCATCACTTCCTCATCCCAGGACGGTACACGCGAAACATCGTCCCGTGGTTAACGAGAGCACATTCTACATCACCAGGGACCAGATTTTCGATCGCATCTTGAGGATTCGGGATGATGAAATTGATGAGTTGGGTGACAGTCTCGCGACGATGACAACCATGATCAACACGAAGTTGACCTAGGTCATACATGAGCCTGTCGCATACGAGTACTCCCTGAAGACATGTCTGGAGTCTGAGCATACGCTGAGGTCGATCAGCGGACTAGATGTAGATACCGATAGAAACTGAAAATGTGTTGAAGATGATCAGGCTTGGTGATGTTTTGTCGATGTGAGGCCTGGAATTCATAGAGCGGTACGGAAAAACAATGCACCGAGCCTCGGCTCACCCCCAGCTTCCAACGTCCGGGGCAAGTTCCGATGACGAACATCTACCCGTGTGTCGCGATGGCTATCCATAATTCTCCTTACGACGCTTTCACTCCTTATCCAACCTATACCAATCATCAAAATGGATAACAGTTCACTCTTTGATGTCAAGGTACGCACATAATTCGTCCACTCACACCTAAGATCTCCCAACTTACTCTCATTCAGGGCAAAATCGTCCTCGTTACAGGCGGCGCCAAAGGCATTGGCCGCATGATCAGCGAGGGTTTCATCCAGAATGGCGCTACGGTGTACATCTCCTCGCGTGATGCGAAGGCTTGTGAGCAAGCGTGCAAGGAACTGAACGCGCTCGGGAAGGGCAAGGCCGACTTTATCGCCGCCGATCTATACAAGGAAGATGCGGCGAAGAACATAGCCGACGAGCTGAAGAAGAGGGCAGGCAGTAAGTCACCCATGGACTGTCATCTACTCCACTGTCGCGAAACCATGAGCAGTCGCTAACAGTGTACAGAGCTTGATGTCATCGTCAACAACAGCGGAAGCAACTGGGGCGAGTCCTACGATAACTATCCCTCCGCCGCATGGGACCGCGTCCTCAACCTCAACCTAAAGCGCGTCTTCCAACTCACCCAAGCCGTCACGCCCCTCCTCGAAGCCGCCTCGACCCCTACATCGCCCGCTCGCATCATCAACATCGGTAGTGTCGACGGTCTGCGCGTCCCTGCCCTCGAGACATTTGCCTACTCCGCCTCTAAAGCCGGTCTCCACCACATGAGCAGAGTGCTAGCAAGCCACCTCGGCAAGCGCGGCATTACGAGCAACACGATTGCGTGCGGTCCCTTCCAAAGTAAGATGATGAAGGCTACATTAGAGAAGTTCAAGGACGTCATTGAGAGCGGGATACCATTGGGACGCATCGGCAGCCCGGAGGATGTTGCAGGTACATGTATCTGGCTATCGAGCCGAGCCGGATCATATGTCAATGGTGCTACTATCGCGCTGGACGGCGGTAGTGTCGTCGGCGCGAAGTTGTAAAAACACTTCTCATATACGTGTACGCGATGAAGACTTTGCGAAATACAATGGACATTTGGCGCAGGACACGGTCATCATGTTGAAGCGTACTACTGACAAGCCTCACAGCTGATACAATAGCACTCGGTGCGCTCTAGATCAAGACGACATTTCTTCGCGCTGCAGACTTCTCTTCGCACTTGATCTACTACATCTACTACATCGGTCTCTGTCTATCTTCTACATTGCTAACAATCAGTACGTATCCTCCGCGCCAACAATCGATCAAGAGGCCAGGGGCTTATGTTCAGCGAAATGCCTCAGCCTCATTCACAAGCCTTTCTCTCGTCTCGCAGCAAGAGTGTAGAATATACTACCGTCGTAAATGCCACGGATATCTTCTTTCATCATTCGGCCATCTTCAGGCCAAAGCATTATGTACGTGGCAATCCCTGAGTTCGTCAGCATTGTTCCTACAAAGCACACTGGCAAAACGGCCTACATTCAAAGAATGCACCACCCCATCCAATCGGATCAGCAATGCACCGTTGCCCTTGAAGCACATTTTTCACGTCCCAGATCGTTAGGTAATCCCTCCCCTCAGCATACTTGGCGAATATGTCCTCGAACTTCTGTGGCAGAAAGCGCCCTTCGTGGTCGTATGTCCCAGTATCACTGCCATGCTTATCTCTATGCACATTCTTGAGGAAAAGACCTAGAAGAGCAGCGCAACCAGTCAGAGTTTGTCTCGAGTGCAGTTCGTGACTTGGAACGCTTACGAAAGAACGGGTCAGGCAGCCAGCCCTCGCATGTAGGGTATGAGAAGTTCGCATGAATCACGAACACCGCGACTATAGATAGAATGACACCGAATCCGAGACGATAGAAGCCTACGAATGTGTCTTGTGGCCAGAGGGTTCCATCGTGGTCGCGATCAAAGAAGTCGCAATGTTGCTGTAGGACAGTCTGGTGGGAATGCTGCTCTGCCCAAACTTTGGTGCCTTGGGGAGATTCTGTTGATGACGCGAGATTCGCACGAGCAGTACCTGCCTATGTTAGCATTTTGGTTAGAAAACGTTCTATACGCGAACACGTACCCGCATGTTGGAGTTTAGAGCCTTTTGTATTGATATATGGTTCTCGCTGCTCGGTGACAGGCACGTCGCGTATCGAGGTTGCCACTCCATCATCGCCATTGGTGAGACGCTCTGAACGTCTTGTTGCTTCAGGCATGTTGTTACTGAGGCGGAGATCGACTTCGTGTAACTGTTGGGACGGCAAAGTGAACAGCAAATAAAAAGAACGCTATCAGCAACTTCAATGACATCACGCTATCTGAAACAGCCTTGACCAACTTTTGAATCATGCCCAACTATACCGTCACAGACTCGTCATTTTACAATTCTACGAACATCGCATTTTGTTCGTGCACTGAAGAGTTGTTGCACTAGTCACTGGCAAAGCGCGTCGCCTATTGTACCGGCTCGTGCCGCTATCTACGTACATCATTGAACCGGCAGCCCGCCAGCCCATAAACGTTGCGCATCACAGCATGTACACTACCCTTTACCGCATTGTATTCGAAGCGGTACTAATGCTCAGCATCTGTAGTGATTTCTTGCGTTGCGCGTGGTTTCGCACTAGCTTTGATGACGTCATTCGCCGGCTCTGCCTACGTTCATCGCGTCTGAAGTACCTAGGTAGTCCCTCCCGTTGTCATTCAGGAGGCTTAGTAGGAGGCTTTACCATACTGTCCCCTGGATGTTGTTTGCGTCACTAGAATCACACTCGCTTTTGGACTCTCAAGCCTAAATGCAATCTCGATGTCATCTCAAGACGCGCAAACGAAGCGTCTAGTGATAATCGTGGGAATACCGTGTCCTAGGCGCTCTTTCATGATCTACCAAGCATGACCATATCAGATATCTCTCTCGGCCACTTCTTTGAACTGGCTGTTCGTTGTGTCGTTGCGTCAGTAGTCATCATAGACCCGAATATAGTCTTAACAACTGCGGGCGCCGCAGGCATCATTGGAACACATTTACACGGCTCCGATCTTTTTTACGTCGCTTTTACCCCGACGACGTTCCTGAATGCACTCATCTCACTTGCTACTTGGTTGCCGACCGGGCCGTCCACCATTATCACGAATGGTACCTAGAGACAGGACCTCAAGCTCTCTCGAGATGGAAAGAACGCGCAGGCAGCTGCAAACCCTCGTAACGCGTTAACAGAAATTGATATACTGGGTCAAAAGTGTCAAAATCTTGCGGAAGGATCGAAGGTGACGTCTGCTGCGATCAGTTCGCGGGCGTTTCGATCGTGATAATGTTTACTTAATAACTCGCGAAGGTCTCGACTTCCCATTTGCAAATGCTGGTGCGTCTGGGGCTAGACTTGTGCAGGTTGTTTCGACGGCGTCTGTACAGGCCCTGTAGTCTTGGGTGTCTACCAGAGACCGTGAAATCGGGTAATACACGTACCTAAGTAGGCTCCTAGAAAAGGTAGTTTGACAACCCGTTCGCCGCAGTTTATCTCACTATCTCCGATAACATCAGATGGGGAAAGGCCGCGCTGACTCTCAGTTGCGTGCTTGCACTCACTCACACAGCTCTTCACTGAACCCGCCCCCGCACCGCCCACTCACTCCCGCCTTCACTGGCTTCACTGCCCACCCACACACTGTATATCGCGATCCGAACAGCCAAAATATTGACATATTGGAATTCAAACCATCTATATAAAGTCTATTATGTGAGATATCTCCTACAAGACTCGGTATAGTGGTCTCCGACCTGCCTATACAACATTTGTCCCGTCCGTTGTCCCAGTCCGTCCTCGTTTAGGAAGTGCGCCGGTTCGAATCTGCTTTGCATCTTGAGGGTTCCTCCCTCTTGGGCAAAGTTCGGTTTAGATTGGTTCGTAGTTACCTTGTCTTGTTTTTTGCCTTTTTTTGCAGCTGCCACCGCCATTCTTTTTTTGTTTAGATACCTAAGAGCAGCAGCTTAAGTAAGCGATATTGGTTTCCTTCTTCCCTTTGCGTATTTCTACTGTGTCTCGTTCGCGGAAAGTGTGTAACACTTGTTGTTCTTTTTGCACTTCCCTAGCCCTATTCCGCCACGACCTCAACAACCGCGTTGCGACGATATTATAACAATACACAAGCTGGAAGAAAGTTTAGATATGAATAGATATGAAGATATTCTAATAGAGATACATGACAGAATTATGGTCTACATGGTTCGCGCCGACATGGTAAATTCGTAACATAGGTATATAAAACAATGGAAAGCAGAGTATCTTGTACAAGAGAAGAGAATGGCGCTCACAGGCATTGTAAACATCTCTTCTAGATAACCGTGTAACCAACCCCAATGACGACGCTCTCTAACAACCAGTTATCTTACTTCTAAGCCTTCCGAGATCTCTTGGAGGGACTTCGAATCAACCATCGAGCCCACCAGTTGCCGACTGTCGGTCCAGCCTTCGAACAATATGTGAGCCTTCACATAGTGCGTGTGCGTCGCATCAGTGCGCGTTGTTGCTCGGTGTAGCATGACTGGACGCGTTGTGGTTGCGGAATCTCGTCGCCGGTCAAGTTGCGGGTCCAGGGTCCGTCTGAGTAGGCAAGGGCAGCAAGGTTTCCATGTCTTTGGACGAGGGGAAACGCAGAATCCGCTATGTATAATTAGTGGCCGCAGGTCGATGCCAACGTCGATGTGCGGAGGTACCTGTTGAAAGGGAAGGAGGATGAGAACGTTTGGATGTGCACCGCCCCCATGTGATCTTCAAGCTAGGCCACGATAGCACTAGAGTGAGTCCGAGTCCGAGAACAGCTACGCAAACGCCGATAAGCGTTAGCAGTGCTTCAGTCGACAGGGTATGTGATTGGACAGCTACCCCCGCAGTGGGGTCTCGCTGTGCAGCGTATGGTATGGCGGCTGCGCGGGTAGAGAAGATAATGTGCGTGCCCAGCAGTAATGGGATGTGGTATGAATACATTCTGAAGCACAGATGCAAGACCAATAAAAGGTAGCTAATCGATTTCAGCAAGTGTAAATAGACGTTTGCGCCGCGAGTGCCAATCTGAGGAGTTCTGCCGTCTTGTCAAAATTCACGAGCTGCACGCTCTGTATATATCCAGCACCGCTTGGCGGGTTGTGGCGGAGCAAACTCGCTGAGTTTCTACCACCCTTGCAAAGCCGGTCAAACGTCATCCGTCGCTCTCAAAACCCAGCCTATCGGCTCGTCGGTTTCAACACACTGCATCACCACAGTTAGAGGAAAAGACATCGTGGGAGGAATCTGTCTGTAGATTTCACTCTACAGCTCGGATATCATAATGCGCATTTTGTGTGTAACGTCAAAACGCCCTTGTAGCTCTCTCTTGGTGAATGGGGTCAACGGGCTTGTCAGCCAAAAAGAGCCATGAAAGAGTGTTAATACATGATCTTGATTGATACCTAAGTACCTAGAAAGACTCAGATCGAACGGATCAAAACCGTAGATAGAAGATGAGGTAAAACTGTAATCTGCAGCGAAAATACGCTCAAGAGTCGCAGAACGCGACTACACAACAACTCCCTTTGGACGACACTTGCCCGCCAACTGCCTGCGTCAACAAAGGCCTTACGGATCATATCCAGACTGCATATGTATATTTTCGCTGTACCAATGCCCTCAGCATGTAGAAGCGCGCCGCATCAGCTCGCGTTGTTGTTCGCAGTAATCAGATCGCACACGTTGTGGTCGAGTTATCCCAGCCCCACCTACGCCTGCGGTTGTCGAGGATTCAGTCGAAACTTGTGGCATCGCATGTTGCCGTGAATCGTTGACGAGTGGAACTCGCAAGTGTGCTAGGCTTCGTTAACATCGTGACGTGTCCTGTGTGATCGTGGAAAGAACATACCAGTGGAGCTGGGACGGGAGCGAGAATGGCGGCGGGATTCCAGCCTTGCCCTCAAGCTAGGCCAGATGAAGGGAAGCGCTATACCCAATATAGCTACGGCTATCGCGATTACACCGACGATCGCCTCCACAGATAGACTTTGTGGTTTGATAGGGGAATTTGTGAGATGCTCTCGTTCAAATAAAGAGGGCAAAGGCCGAGCGAATGCGATCATACAGAAGTATGCGAAAACAAAGGGTAGGAGCTGGACGAAGGGCATAGTGTGTGCAAGCGCTTCACAAGCATACAAAGACGGCTTTCATGCAACCCAAAAAGACAATGGAAGGCCAGATGTGCTAAAGAGCGATAGGGAGCGGTCGGGCTGGTAATGCTGTCGTGATGTCGAGTATGAGAATAGACGCAGCCAGGTCGCAATAAAGACGTTCGTGAGGATGTAATACCCGTCTAGGTATATAGGTTGTTGAGATTTGCGTTCCTACTCGAACATTTGCAGCTATTCCGATCCTTTCTTCCTTATATGTAAAGATGTCAACTCAGCAATCAGCAGCAGATTCGATGCCTGAGACGAGCGCATTCGTGTGAGGAGGCTGAATGTTGCGACGACTGCGCCTCGCAGCCTTCGCCTCCTTGGTTCAACTTGACTGGCCAGCTGCACCTTGCACCCATGCCCCGTCGACTGCACAGGTGGGTCGCATCTTCGCTAGCTTGCTCACGCAAAGTAGTCAAAAGGGCCAATAGAATGAGAGCAGGGTGTTCTTTCTCGATAGAAAGACATGTACTGCTGTGCCGGTCATCCATTGCGAGCCGTTAGCCTTTTGAATCGCTCACCGTTGAAATGCCTGCACGTGATTGAAAAAGATGGCCGGATGAGTCTGCAGGGAACTCAATGAGCACGGAACTCCATATCTAAGACTAGTCATCACAATAGCCGCGGCGATCTGCCGACTTAATTCGTCTCCTCCTCATCAACCCACTCATCCTCCAGCCCAGTGACATCATCGTCATCGCTCGGCTCCTCATCGAACATCAACAACAAGCGCAACAATTCGTCTTGCGGTCTTTCAATATGCTGCGACAAATTGGCGAGTATTGGGTCTTCGACTTCGGTGGTCGCGTTATCGCCATTGTCAAGGCTAGGCGCAAGGCTGATGATGCGAATTGCTTTTGTCGGGAAGATGCGTCCATTTCCTCCTTCTTCCCGTCGTTGGCCCAGTGTCTTTTGTCTGTTAGCCATTGCATACTCTTCAGATTTGAACGGCGAACGTACCGCGTATGTTGTCATGATAGCATCGTCGAACAGAGCCATAAAACTGACCGGCACCGCGAGCTGCGGCGCCGAACTCGTGAGAAACGAGTATGAAGGTCCCACTTCCTCAGCCTCGTCTACAACACTGATCCGATTGTCCTTTCTGAGCGCAACGACATACACTCTGTTCTGAATCTCGAACATGATACGATGGTTCCGTGCAGAAAGCCAACCACCCAAATCGAAAGTTGAACCATCAGACTCGCACTCCAGGATCTGACTAACACTTGCTAAGTTCTTCGACCCGTCTTCTAATGCCTTGCGGAGATCGGTGCAGACAAAGATACGACCCAGACGCGAGAAGCCTACAAAGAGGTTGCTGCTACGGTCCAGCATACCGGCACCCCACTCGTCTTCCTCGTTTGGGTCGCGAGATGCGTTTGGAAGAGGGCCCTTGCCGAGATGTATAGGCGTCAAGCGGCTTTTGCGAGGTGCTGAGGGAGGGAAGATGCGTCGTGATGGCCGACCATAACGCAAAGCAGCCAATGCTGCATTGGAGGATGGTGGATCGGTGGGTGGTAAGGGCTCAACATGGTACTTCTCTGTACATTGCGATGGTTGTAGGATGCCCAAGGCCTGCCCAGACTTCTTGTCATAGACATGGTAACCACGCGTTCCCATTGAATACACAACCACATCCTCGTTCTGATCCAGGTGACCGACCGCGTCTTGCTCGATCTCCAGATGCGTAGTCAGTTTTGGTGGGTTCTGCTTCATGTCGTATACAAAGCCCTGGCCCTCTACTGAGACCACGACAAGTGTCCAATACGAGAGCTGGAATCCTCTTGTCTGACAATCGTGATCTAGGACAGCAAAGCGTTGAAACTCTCCTCTTGATGTGCCCTCTTGATCTGTCCGCCAAATTTCAACTGCATCTCCTTCGCGATCAAAGGCAGCCATCCCATCTTGATACTCCAGATGCGCATACGGTCTGACGGCATGGTCTTCAGTCGTGTCTAGAGCTGAAGGCAGCTGCCATAGGATGCGACCCGTATCCATGTCGGATACGTACAACCCGCCTGCATGAGATGTCGAGATGAAGATGCGGCGCTTGAAGTCAGCTTTGAACCGCCATACTGCATGGTTGCCAACTTGCAAGATGGATTCGCGAGTAGTAGGTTGCCGTGTGTTCCAGTTGCGCTCGAGCAGCGTTTGTCGTTTACACAGATCTTTCCATGATGTGATGCCATCAAAGAGCTTGGAGAAGCTGGTGTAGTCATTGACGAACGAGAAGTCGCGCGCGCCGCCAGCTGGCTGTGAGGTCTTGTGCGGTTGCGAAGTCTTTGTCGGCGACGAGTAGATGGCTTCTTGATGCGTTCCGTCGATGAATTGGTGCCAGGCGGGCGACACGGCAGTAAGCGATCCTAGAGCCGAGACGGGCGTGAAGTCGAGGATGCGGAGCACGATCTCCGGAGGTAGGACCGTAAGCGGGTCCGGGATGGTGACGTTCATCGTCATTTCCTGTCACAGAGGTTGTAATGTTTGTTCGTTATGCTGTATCTCAGACGCGCTGTCACTCGTGTCCGCACAACAATATTGTGGATGGAACAAAAGACACAGCTTTCCGATGAAGTCATTGTGGAGAAGTCACGTTCGGACCCCAAGGAACACCTGGGCATCCATCACTCATGCACGGAAGTAGCACCAACACCACAAAGCTCGCGATAGTCGCCATCGACTGCATACTGGAGCGCCATATCAGCGACTTGCACCCAATCGCAATAATTCGATCGGTACTGTGAGAACTGCATCGTTGGTCGCTCCCGTGGTCGCCTTATCCCCGGAGGCGTACCTAGATGATAGCAATCGGCGCGTCTCAGCCGGCGCGAAGCCTTGCGCACCTCAACACATACCGGAGAGATTGATAACAAATGCCATTCTGATGACTGTGAATACCATCCGATATGCGATAAGCAAAAGGCCGGCATTTTGCATCCGGTTAGGCATCGATTGTGGAGATGCGGGCTGAGCCCGCATTCGCCAAGTCACTAGTAGCTTCGGTAACAGCGTGGTACTCATACCATGAACCAAAGAGGCATCTCTGTAGGCCTCGTTATCTGGGGTATCGTACCAGCCTGAACCACGATCCCGCCGGGATGTATATAAAAGCAGCAACGGCGGCCGCAGATTCTGCAGGTGTGCTCTCCACCGACCGCTCATCATGGCGGGCCGTTTCCTCCTCTCCGGACTGCTGACCGCGGCTCTTGCGTCTATCTCCGCGTTGGCCGCTCCTGTTGTCAAGAGGAACCCTTACAGCTTCGTTCTCGAGAACCCTTACGGTGATGCTGTCTTTGAGCTTGGGAATGTTTCTTACCTGGCCAATACCAAACATCCCAAGGCGAGTGCTGGCTGCGCAACCCCGGCCGGCTCTGCTACATCGATCCCCATCACCGTCATCAAGACAAACGAGACGACTATCACGAAAGATGTACTAGAAAGCGTTGTATCTTCATATCTAGCTGGGGACGACGTCTTCAGCCACGATTTCCTGGACGGACTGTACCTCTCCTCTGGCGTCAAGTCGACACTGGATGCCTCCGCTGGCGACTATCTTGCGTCTTTGAACACGAGCATGCTTTTCGTAGACGCCTCGGTGACTGCAGAGGCCTCAATGAGCAAGATGGTGCTCGAATCGGCTATCGACCTTCCAGCTGGGCCATACCTCGCATCAGTCGAGGACGGCTCTGTGAGCTTTGCGACTGTATATCGGCTCTACCCGGATACCTACCGCACATTCCTGTTCGGAGCCTACGATGCGAATGATGGGCAGGAAAATCACAACCCGCTCGGTGTTTTCCTGCCCAAGTTCTGGGACCCCATGATTCCGTGAGTAGAAATCTGCTCGCCCAAGACAACGACCTAACAGAGTCTGCAGTGTTCCTTCACGCATATACTATTGGGGAGACGACAGACCCCTGGCTGGAGAGCGCGTTGCAATCAAGGATCTATACGATGTCAAGGGCTTGCAAACTTCCGGTGGCAGTCAGGCATGGGCTCGTATCACGCCCGTTTCCAACGGCACAGCGCCTTCAGTGCAGCAAATCCTCGATCTCGGAGGTGTCGTTATCGGAAAGCAGAAGCTCGCTCAATTCGCTTCCGGTGCTAACCCTTGGGAATGGCAAGACGAGCACTACCCGTTCAACCCGAGAGGTGATGGATGGCTCACGTGCTCAGCTTCTTCTTCTGGTGGTGGCTGCTCCGTTGCTGCGTACGATTGGCTTGACTACGCCATTGGAAGTGACACTGGCTCTTCGATGAGGCGACCGGCTGCAGTGGCTGGTGTATATGGACAACGTCCCAGTCAGGGCTTGATATCACTCGAGCGTGTCATCCCGTTGGGTGCTGCAACCGATACGGCAGGAGTCTTCTCTCGCGACCCTTACAAATGGATCAAGTTCAGCAAGTCTTGGTACACACCCAGCCTCTATCAGAACTCGTCGATCACTGGTCTATCACCGCTTTCCGTCCCAGACACAAACGCATTCCCCAAGACCATCCTCTACCCCACGGATTACCTCCCGCTGAACAACTCCGCCGCAGAGCCAATCTTACAAGACTTCATTGCGAATGTCTCCAGAATCTTCAACATGACTGTCAAGGAGTTCAACTTCACCGCCACAGTCCAGAATTTCTCTGACCCCATTGCGAGCAACTTCACCAGGATGGGGCAAGCGACCAGCGCAATCAACGGATGGTCTTCATGGCAAGTCGTCGGGAAACCCCTGATAACCGCTTGGGCTGCACTCTTCGACGGCCGCTTCCCGCCAATCGATCCCGCAAGACGCCTCGGCTGGTTCGCATTCGATGAGTCAGAAACCAACCAAACCACCTACGACGCAGCACTCGTGACCAAGAACACAGCCGTGGAGTGGTACGAAAAGGAACTCCAATACAGCACTCCCGAATCATGCTCAGAGTCTGTGATGCTCTACGACATCGGCACCGGCGGCTTGCCTTCCTACCGCGAAAGAGAGCTCAACGACTCGCCTGATGCTTCTTACCTAGCTGTCACACCGCCGACGGCAAAGATCACTGGCGCGGGCATATGTCCGATATTCGGGTGTGCGGATTTCACGATTCCGATTGGTCAGGTGCCGTATCGGAGTGAGGTTACGTTCCATGAGGAGATGGTGCCTGTAACTATCAACATGGTAGTAAAGAGGGGATGCGATTTTGTGCTTTACAACATGATTGAGAAGTTGGCGGATGAGGGTGTGTTGAAGACGGTCAAGACGGGGAGAACAGCCTATTGATAGTAGAGCTGACTTCGTGGAGTGAGTATGCGATATGACATGATGAATGTAATGCAATCTGGAATGGCACGTTTTGTTTCCAGCCCCAACAATTGTCGCTTGACATAAGTGTAAGCATACGACTGTGTCGAGTCGCTTGTAGAGTTGCTTGGACGAAATGTGGCCGGAATCAGTTGTCAAGAGACACCATATTGCTTTTGAATCGACAACTGTGAACACCACCGCATTGATGGAGAGGAGATTGCCTGGTAAGGCTGCATTGCATTGTTGCGAACCAACTGGTTCAGCGCTCTGGTATCTAGAGCCGTAATGCATCATTCTAGCTTTCGAAAAGCGACCACAACGCCAAATGTAGAGTAGACAATACAATGCCCAATGTCTATAGTTCCCCCGACGCTTTTGAGATGCCGTATTGATGCAGTATTAGAAGAAGAATAAGATGCAAAGACCTGCGAGGTCCCAGGTCATGTCTGGGATTCCTCTGGGTGCTCGTGTGCGACTTTGCGCACCTGCAAGCACCCGCACCCATCTATGAGCGGTGCATGGTACACCGGTCCAGCGCGTCGAGCAGCTCGGGTCGTTCCGCCAAGGCCTGTCGCGCTTGGGTATAGCTGAACCAATTCCGATTCCGCTTGTGCTGCTCAGGCCACTGAGCTTCTTGCTTCTCGACAGTCGCTTCGAAGAAATGGTACGAGGCCTTTGGGGCCTGGGAGGTGAGCTGGTCGGGTCTGCGCTTCTCAGGGATGAGGCCGAGGTCGTAGTTGATCTTGCATATTATGCCGGCTTCTTCCCAGGCTTCGCGTTTGGCGGCATCTTGGGCAGTCGCTTCGTCCGTCTCCCAGCCGCCTTTGGGGAGCACCCATCCGTTCCGCTTGGTGGACTGGATGAGGAGCACGTAGTACTTGTCGGCAGAAAGCGGGACAACGCCGGCGACTAGGCGCTCGCCTTGGGATCCATAGCCTGCCGCCAATCAGCCGAAAGTTAAAAGCGGTGAGTAGGGAGAGATTCGCGGAACAGGTTCAGGTTTTTGGGGTTCGTTGTGGGGTCTCGTGGGCAGACTTACGTTGGTTCACGCGACCGGTGCGCGACTGCATCGACAGCTGCTGGGTAGCGGCCATGTCGGCGCTGAGGTGTCTGTACGAGAGACGGGGCAGTATCAAGTGGCACCGCGTGTATGCGACTCGCTCGACGCGACGGCCACAGAACTCAAGGAGGGGCTTGGTCGGAAGAGGGAGGCGAGCCAGGCGGTGAATTGAAATGAAGCCGAGCCGACAGCGAGTGTGCGTGTGGCTTCACGGGGCAGTGGTGGGGAGCAAGTGTAAAGGGGGCGGATGTGGTAGGCAAAAGGGCTGAGCAAGGCTCAGTCCCGCGGATGACGGGGCTGAGGATGTTGAAGGAGCCTGCGAGCAGCAAAGAAGTTCGGCATGGTGGATGGATGTTTTAGTAGGTGGTTCGGGTCAGGGACTTTTTACGTGGAAACTAAGGGCTCGCGGAAGCGTCACGCCTGTCGCCAAGCCCCGCCTGCAAGAGGAGCTTTGTCCGGGGTGCCTGCCACCCTCTGCACCGCTGCGCATATCTGCACAAAAACTGCAATCAAGCCCCCGGCGCCCTGCCAGACAAGGCAGAGATCGAGCCGGCGCGCGCCAGACACTGGCCGTCTGCGCGCCCAGGGCGCTGCAGCGAGAGCCGGCGGGGCACGCGAGACCAGCGCGCCGCCTGCAGCCTCTCTGCCTGCCTGCCCGGCCGCTGGATGACGTACAGGCATTTAAGGGATGAATTGCCCACTAGAAAACGCGCAATTGCCCCCGTGTAGACGCTGGCCAGAGTTCGTGGTGCGCGCCCTGCACGCTGTGATACAACACCTCCGCCGTGCTGTTGAGTGTCCTGACCCCGCGACCGACCGCGCTTCTCCGCCAGAACATCGTCGCAGCCCCCCTGACCGCCTCGACCGACACCATCAGTCCGACGAGCCCTGATCTCCAGCAAGCGGGCGACGACAAGGAGCTACTATTCATTCCCCTTCCGGCTGTCCTCGCTCGCCGCCGCGACGACGCTCGATTCCGCCTCGGACCACTACCCCCACCAGCTCCCACGCTTATGCTGCCCTCATGCAGTCCAGTGTGACGCCCTTCGGTATCGTCTGCTCCAACCATTTCCCTGGGTTCCGGCTCGTGCCTGTCTGGCTGGCCACCAACCCGT